CCGGAGACACCACACTGTCCAGGTGTGAAGGTGGTGCAACTCTCTTGCAGTGTGTAAAAGCCTGTGATCAGCAGGAAAATCTCGCTAGCACCTACATCTTGGGTAGTAATCACTGTAATAGTGTTGTGTAGCATGGGGGTTAGCCTGTGTTTATATATAGATCTTTACAGTGATAAGTAGGTTTTGTGGCGTGAGAGCTGAAAGTCGTGAGCATTTGATGCTCTACCTCTGCACCGCTCCTCTGCCTACCCCTGGCTTCACACTGCCTGTTGTTGCCGTCCTAATTCTCATCTCCCATGCCAACACAAATGCCTTAACTTGGTGCTTCAGTCACTCAGTCCTAGGATTTTCTTTTTGATCTGGTCTAATCCTCATTATTATTTACAGACCGTGATTTCTCCCCGCAACCACCGGCGTGCTGCGCCCGCTACACGAATAAACCAGTACATAGTACGGACTTTGATCAATTATGAAATATTCGCTAATGGACTGTGTCCCTTCAATGCAGCCCCACCACCACCACCACCCCTCTCTCTGCTCTGCATTGTGCTGGAGCTTGCCTCTTTGTTAGGTTCATTTTGACATCTGTGTGTAAAATGAGCTTTCAATTATTTAAGAGCTTGTATACCAGTAGAGCTAGCGTATTATATCTGGATAATAGATTTGTATACTGCACTGGGTCATACTCGCAATTAGTGTAATAGTCTTTTGCAATGGCAGACTGTTCAAAGTAATCCATAAACAGTATAAGAATGTGCACTGTGTACTGTACTTTAAATGGTGGCATTAAACAGGATGTGATGTGCAAATTCTTAATTAGAAATTTGTGAGGGATTAATGGCGCCGGCTAACAACAATGGAAAGTATAAAAAAGCTTTTAAAAAAATCCAAACAAGCTGAAAAGATATTACTAATAATTTGCTGTGAGAAATGTAGTCCATATACTTTGTCTATGAGACAATAAAACACCGTAGGTTCTTTGAATTTTTCTACATTTTATCACTTTGTGGAAGTTTTTTGGCTTCCCTTGTTCATCCTTTGTCACAATCTTGAATTGTTTTTGCAGGCATGCGTGCAGTCATGGCTTTGAGACACTTGATGTAAGCTTTGCACTCCTTTCAGTGTCATCACATTGACTTAAAAAGAAAAATGTGATTCTGAACTGCATGTTCTGCTTCAACTTTTCTCCTCGGTTTGATCCTTGAATGAATCTAGACCCAAGTTTTGTCCATTCAGTCAAGCAGAAACATGCGACGGTGTCCACTCTCCACAGTCTTCATATGAGAAATAATGATACTGATAATTGCAGTACTTGTGGATTGATGGAATTAGATAAGAAAGGGTGAAATATGAAGCCGTGTATTTGAGTGTGTGACAGACTTAGAGCACTTGAACACATCCTCAGTGTTCAGAGTTGGGAGTTGGGATTGTACGTGCAATTCGTATTTCAAAATCAATATTAAAAGTGAGGTTGCACAACACAACACTGCTGAACTAAACTGGCATCGCAGTTAATGCTGTTATTCTGAAAGGCAGTTGTATGGACAGGAAGTTGTTGATAAACAGGATGAAATGCTTGTGTAACAGAACATGTAGCTGTTGCCTGTTTCAATAAGCTCAATAAGTGAACAGCCCCTCGCTGTGTCATCTGTAAGTGCAGCGACTCAGGAGGCAGACGGACTAACAGTGAGTGACTGAATGGATTAGTAGAGTCCCTTTTACACTGGTCAAAAAACCCACTAAGACCCGCTAACATCTGGCTTTTGTCGACAGTGGAAAAGGGCATTCGCTCCCGGGTCAAATGACTCTGCAGCAGTCACGGGTATTTATCAGCTCCAGCTCCGATCAGCGGTGATGTAAACACACGGCACCCGGGTGAACACTCTTCATCTTTTTTCCCCCATGTCTTTGCTGTGACATCACAAACACTTTAGACAGAGCTGTCACCTGCCCAGCACAGCAGTGACACTGTGCTACGGGATGAAAGACTGAGCTGCAGCCACGAAATAAGTTTCAGAAAACACACAATCACTGAATCGAAGCGCTTCACGCGGCGGCTCCGACACTCAACAGCAGCACCGACCTGGGGATGAGATGCGACGGATCCATTTTCCCAGTCTGCACGGCGGCTAACAGCTCACTCTCTCTCCCCTGCATCTGTGTGTGTGTGTGTGTGTGTGTGTGTGTGTGTGTGTGTGTGTGCTCTGTAACCCTGGAGTTGTGTGTCTTTGTCCTCTCAGGCAAACTCGGCTGGCAGTGTTAAAGAAGTCAATCATCTTTTTTAGGTTTACCTGCGTTTAAGAAACCTGCTTATACGCACTACTTTTGGTGCGGAAACCGTGTAAGAGCCTTTATGAAACCAGATTGAATTTGTCTGAAAACATATCTCCACTTCACATTGTGAGTGCTGACCTTCTGAAAGTGCCAGACATGTTTTAAATTCTATAAAAAAAAATACTCTGCTATGATTAAGATTCAGTTTAACGTGGTTTTCTCACATAAAAAGTGAAAAAATGAAAAATTGGGGCCGGAAACACATCTACACCTCCTCACTGAAAAATTCTGGATGAGGCTCTGGGCCCCGCCCACCACCACCTGCTCCCTCCAGGTGGACAGGTGATGGTTAGAGGAGGAAACATCAGAGAGACTCAGCCACATGTTTGAGCCTCAGTCAGACCCAGACTCAGATGAGGAGTCTGTTGAGACCAGGATCAGAGACTAGCAGACGGATCAGAACCGTTAGCACAGTTAGCATCTTTTATTTGTTTATGTTGTTTGTTAGCTTGTAGCTGGCAGTTGCTGACACAGTGTTAGTGGTTGTGCTAATGCTAACTCTCTCTCTCTGTACTGACGAGCTTAGGTTATTTGATGTATGAAACCCTGGCTGTCTGAATCTCTTTTTACGAGGCTGTCATTGGTTCACTGCGGTTCCAAGGTGGAAATACTCAGTCATGGTGTTGACTGATTGTTTTGCTCATGACATGTGTTGTACTAAGTAAAGAACACCATATGGACATGTGAACAAGGCTGAACAGTTCATTTTCATCAGAGGGGTTCTTTAACATTGAAATACATTCACTACAATTGTTGAAAAGTGGTTATACGTAACCTACAAGTCTAAAAGTGTTTCACTTTTTAATCAAACGTAGTCCAGTTGTAATACCGACACACAGACATCTTTTCACCTGCAAATCAGCAAATCACTTCTCGCTGCTGTGACTGCAGCGAAGCCAGAAATTCTGGTCGAGAAGATTGAGTCATTTAATTTCCAGCAGCAGTTTGACGGTGGAGTTGCGGGTAAGGATTCAGAGTCTAGTCCTGGTTGCACTTTCTGTGATCTTTGTTTCAAATGATGTCTCCCAGTCAGCGCTCTCAGTTCTCATGACTTATGAGCCTGATGCATCTCTGCTACTCTTCACACTTACATAACAGAAAAATCTCCCATAAAGCTCTGTCATGCATTTATAATGTTTTTTTTTTTTTCCATTTCTGCTTCTGAGTGTGTGTGTGAGTGTGTGCGTGTGTGTTTTGGCGTACAACACTAATACTTCAAACAGCTCGGAGCAGAATGTATCGTCTGAGGAACTGAGGTATGACACAAAGCACACGGTTTCTCATGTTCCACTGCCTCCATAAAAAAATCACTGTTTATTCTTCTATATCTGTGGAGTTTCATTTCATTTCTGGATATAAACTCTCAAAGTGTTAGCCTGCTAATATTTGCCAATTAGCTTTAGCTTTGCAGGTATTCGGTGATAAACCAAAGTGATTAGGAATCATCACCCGGTAACCATGAATGTCTGCATCACCTGCCACAACCTGTCAAGTGGGGAAAACACACCGTCTTCAACAGTTAAACAAACCAATTTATTAAACAAACTGAGATTATTTAAATACATGTTAAAAAGGGTGGAAAATACACATGCGTGGGAGTCCGTGCAATCAGTAATGGAGGATGTGGACATAGTGTGTGAGAGGTGCCTGAAAACAAAATAAAAGGGAAGAAATGAAGAGGAACTAAAACAGCATAACCAAGCGGCTGCCTGCAGGGAAAGAGGGAGAGAGGGAGGGAGAGCGAGAGAGAGAGAAACTGCCAGCAGCAGTCAGAGCTTTGCAGACTGGGAACCGTGGGCCCAGGTGTTCCCAGTTGGCTCTGACGATCCCTTCCCCATCCAGGGAGGAATCCGAAACACAGTCGGACAAAAAACACAGATTGGCAGGAAGGGCCAGGGGTCGTCACACAATATTCTTAGGAATTCATCCAGTAGTTCTTGAGATATTTCAGTTAAATCTCGTCCAAACAGCTCGCAAACTGGAAGAAATTATTACATTTAAAGGTCCCATATTAGATAAAGTGAGACTTTCATGACTTCTTTGATTAATGATCAGGTCTAGGTTCTATATTCATACTGTGAAAGTATCAAAGTGCTTTCCCCACAGAGAAACACACACAGCCTGTATTAATAAACTGAGCCTTAAAACCAGCCGTTAGGACTTCTGTAACTTTGTGATGTCACTAAAAAGCGGTCCCCGCTCTCAGCCATGCTCCAGGCCCCGCCCACCTGGACCCACCATCCAACCTTTGCAGGATGTTGTTTTACCTGAAATCTGCTTAATTTTTATTTCTGTGAGCCAATCAGAAGAGAGAGCCTGTCCTCTGACCATTTCTTCTGATTGTTACTAGAGCTCCAGAGAGAAAACTGAGAGAGGAGATGTAAAACTACACTGAGATGTTTTTTTTTATCTTCTAATGGATCAACATGTCAAATAAAAGTGGAAAACATGGGACTTTTTAACAGCTGTTGTATCTAACAGTTTTAAATCTTATTTATTGAACTCAAACCCACACCATCATGTGTCTCTCTTTTCTGATAAATTGCTCAAAATTCCAGCGGATGGATCTTCATCATGATGCTGGCAGTGGCTGCTGGGAAATGTGTGTTCCTGTTACAGCAAGCCTCTCATTTAGTCCCCCCTTTGTTTTCTGTTGTGTCTGGCAGAGATCTCTGGGAACTCGGAGGACATTCCTCTGGTGCGCTGGAGGCAGCAGTGGCTGGAGAATGGCACTCTGCTGTTTCACATCCACCATCAGGACGGCAGCCTGAACCTGCCAGAGCCCACCGAAGACCCTGCCAACGATTCTGCGAAGGAGGAGCTGCGCATCCTCCACATCTCTGTCATGGTAAAAACCCCGTGTTCACAAAGCAGCTAGGAAATGGAAACACTTTTCAAGTCTAATGGTGTAATTTCTTTTCTTTTGACAAAATCTTTCATTTATAGACGCTTTTCTTTCTTACTATTTCATTAAGGTGGATATGGATTTCAATATAAAACACTATTTTAGTGAGGTTGAGTTTTTTTCCCCTAAAACTGTGTGTGGGGGGGCTGAGACATAAAAGTAGATGAAGACCCTTCCCCTGTTATTATGTCAGCGAGACACTGTGCAGACAGGCGGAGAAGAATACTGTGTGGAACATGAATTTTCTAAAGTTTCACATTTCAGTTGCAGAATGTAGATTTTTGCATGCCTGCACTGTATCAAACCTTATCTGCTATGTCGGCAGAGTAGGAAATGAATCCTCAGATCTCGCAGCTTCCTCCTCTTGCCTGAGGAAATGTATATTTATTAGATCTTAGATATGCCACACCTACTCCCAGTGCCCTTTTTCCAGCCCAAAGACATTACAATCTTGCTTTGATGGATGATATGTATTTTCAGACATTGAAAGCATATTATAGCTGCATACACAAATGATTAGTCAGCTCGAGAAGACTTTTGCCGGCAGCTACGTCGGCTGAACGGAGGCAGGGAGCCGCACGTCGATGCCCGCTGAATGTCAACGACCTTGAGACCTTGAGATAACAACAAATAACCGACCTTGAAACAGGGGGCAGCCTGCATGTTTTGCATGAATTAGCAAACATCACGGGTTTGAGTGGTGGCAACGTTTTTATGCTTCCTCCCTCTTTAGATTTTTCCTTCTAATCTCCCATTTTTTACTTCCTGCTCTATCTGCATTTCACATCCCATCAACTTCAGGTCCGGCTCTCTGTGTTCCGCGCTCTGCTAATTCCTCATCCTGAAAGAGCTGTGGCGGTAGCGCTGCCACCAGGGTGTTTTCATGAAGGTGTGGGCAGAGAAGGATTAGCATGCAGATATAAGCAGACCGTGACAACAGATGGAAGCGGTGTTGCCACTGCGATGCTCAGGCCCCGCTGCAGCTTGCCACCCGGCTGGAGGCCCTGACCTATAAATCCAAAGCCATGTCACTTGTTCGACTCCTTGTGGAAACAAAAAGGGGTCCTGTGAAGGCTGCTTTACAGGGTTTTCTTTTTTTTTTCCTTAGCTGAAGTTCACACCTGTCACACACACACCGGGACCTCTTTCCATTGGATTTCATGGGAGGGCTGCAGAACAGGTAGTGGTGTGGAAAGAGATGCAGTGGTATACAGAACCACTGTGAACGTCTCATTCAAATATAAGGAAACCCTTCTGGTATATGGTTATGCTATAAACAGCAGGGAAGAAACATTATGAAAGAAGAGATGGTTCAGGTTTAGTTCGTTCGTTTCTATCAGGAATAGTGACATCCTGCTCACCAAGGTCATTTCTAAACTCTGGCAACATCATTACAAAAAAGTCCAGTTGGGCAGTATATAAGAAAAGAAGCACAGGTGAAATTTTGCCGACATATTCTGCATCATTTCATCTCAAATTGTGATTGGTTGGGTTGTAGAAATGGGTGGTGGCAGCAGCAGTCACGCTGTGGGAATTTAATCCTAAATTTCTGACGCTGATTTTGATTTTGCCGCAGGTCGTCATTGGTCGGCAAAAAACTCCAGATCAGTTGTCCGTGAACGAGTCACAATTGAACGATTTCATGTTACATAGCCAAACACTGCAGAGTTTAAAGGGACCTTATCAGAGAGGGATGGAATGTAAACAAGCTAACACTTTAGCCAGCTAATCTGATCCACTTTATTTGGGGGTAAAACCAAAAGCACCCAAAAAAAAAATCAATAATAATTTCCTCACTTCCTAGACAAACTGTGCACGCACTGCTGTGAAGTACTTTGGATCCGCTCCTGGAAAAATGGATGTAGGAAATGTCTGCCTTTTGTGAGGTCGTTTCATTCCCGGTAGAGTTCTGCACAGACCTGAGATCCAAACCTGGCCCCCGTCCTGCTTCTTTACGTCCTGACCGACAGAGTCCGACTGCTCCTGCCAAATTAGTTACTTCAACCCAAACCGGAAAACCCACAGCTGTATTTTCACTTAATTTTACCCATTAATGACCATTAGTTTGCCAGATTAATGAAGTGCATTGGAAACGCACTCCCTACCTCTGCCCACTGGCTGTTGTGTATCTACTCTAACACATGACTCATACTTGCTCAGACATTTGGCAGAGAGAGAGAGAGAGAGCCAGAAGCTTTACACAACAAAATGGCCTGAACGATGGTCCAAACAACAAATTGTATTGTATTATAAAGACCTAGGCTAAGCAGCTGTCACTTGAGGGCTGTTTGATTATCAAAAAAGTTGCCAATAAATTTTTGTTGTTGAGGGAAGTATTCACATTCTGTGAACAGAATGCTGAGACCCATTAACTTTGCAGCATTAAAAGGAAATCCTTTCTTTCCTTCTACATTTGTCTCAGGGGCTGTGTTTCACAGCGCTGCTGCCATGCTTTTATCAAACACATGAAATTGAGTTGAACTGGTCCCAGGTCTGCACATCCTGGGCCAGGTGGGCTTAGCCAGGGAGCAGAACGTCTAATCTGCCACAGTTCATTGCCTGGCCACTGTGCCCACCACGAGACTGTTTATGCCTAATGGATGAGTTGGGACTCCAGCATTTTTAGGCTTGAAGACAAGCCAAGACTTATTATGGGCTTGATCCTAAAGGGGAATCAGGTTCAGTGAACTGCACCAAACTCGGGGTCTGAGGCCAGAAAAGTGATTTTTCTCTGTTAAACCGGCCAAGCTGTAATTTTTTTTTCTCCTGAAAACCTAGGTTTTCTGCTCAGTTTTTAGTTTTTCAGAACACAGAAGTGAAGATAATCTCCACGTTCGCACTGAGAAGAGAGTAATTGTCAGTCGCTGTGCCTCGGTATTTTTGATGCGCGCTGTTCTAAAGTTGGAGGCTTCTTCATGCAGGGTTCAAAGCTTCTCCCTGTGCTCTCACATCCAACAAGGTAACCGTAGTGTCCTCCACTGGCCGCGGCTGGTCATCCATAATAGATGACTAACCTTGTGTATGTCTGTACCAACACCAGGTGAGACACTGGCAGTTCAAACACACGTCCTAAACTTCAGCTTGAACCCCACAGGCAGAGACACAGTAACTCCCAACACGGCCAAGGGAAGACAAATAAAAAACACTATGTATTTAAAACAGCATCAGATATTCAAAGTGGCATCATTGGTTTATTTGTTGAGAGTCTTAAGCTCCAGTGTATCGCTGCTGCACACAATTCTCCCTTTTTAATTTCCAAATTTTAATCAGCTGCAGTTTTGCCACAGGGCTTCAATGGATCAATCCAATCATCACATACAGTAAGGAGACCTCCACACCAAACCGAGCAAATTACATTATGTGAAAGACTAATATGGTTTTCAAACCTAGGGGTTAGATTTGATGTTTTTTCTCCCTGTGGATCTTTTAGCTGTATTGTTTCTTTATTGTTTTTTCCTAAGAGGCCAGGAAGTAACTTTTTAATTTGTGCAAGCATCATAGGAAAACCCAAACTCAAAAGTGGGTATCAAAGGCTTTACAAGAGAGGAGATATAATTCACACTGATGGAAAAAAAAAAAAAAAAAAAAGAAATGCACAAAAAGAGCCAAAATCCTGACACTGCTCATTTTGCCTGATGGTGCAGAATTTGGGGCCAAGATCTGGTTTTACCTCAGCTGCCTGGAAGCCCTGGAGGTACAAGTTTTCTGTGGATCAGTAGTGTGAAAATAGCCCCTGACTGTGCCCACTCAACCCAAAAGGTGAGGAGCAGTGGAGTCTGTCAGAGCCGTATGGTGTCTGACGTTAAAGGTAACAGATACTGCCAGGCCGCTGCTTCGCTTTTGTCTGCTTTGTGCTTTGACAGACCTACTGTAAGTTTGAAGAGTAATTTAACAAGGAATATACTTTTTTGGAGGAGAAGGGGGGGGGGGGGAGTAAATTACATGCACTGTCAGTTTCTCAGACCATCTATTGATCCTCGTCCTATTTTCTAGCTTTCATTGAAACACTAAAAGTTATTTTCCTTTTCCAGAGAAGATCCAGTTATTCTTTCCATTTGACCTAAAGAGCAATCTGTGAAATATCTTTGATGTACACCCCAGGTCACACACCCCCCCCCCAGTGTCGTACTGACGCACAGGGCACACACCCTCTACTCTGTCACTGTCCGCTGCCTCCGTTACCTCGGCTGCGTCCTTTGCTGAGCTGAAGTGAAATGCGTGTGTGAGTTGCGAGCTGTCGCCACCTGGTTCCGGACGCTAAAACTAGAGTCAGATATGTAACTACAGCTCTGTGAATTATTGATATACTGTCAGATGTTATAGCTCGACATTAAACTGCTGAAACATGTCGGTTCAGATGGGGGGCGGGGTAGAGGAATGGTTGTGATGGTGGTGGTAGTAGTAGTGGTACTTTAATATATTTATGATAGGGAGAGCCGCTGCTCTTTAACCAACCGTTAATCGTTAACCGATAAGATTGAATAGATGAGTGTCTGTAACCCTTTAAAAAAAAATACCAGTATAACAGTTAAATGGTTAATTATGAACAACTCTAGTTTATGATGAAATGTGTTTACTAATTAGAAACAGGAAATACACTTAGAAACAAATGTAATGACGACTGCATTAGGCTACGTTCTGTATCCACAGAGAGGAGGAAGATTTCTAATGAATGTATCCGCAAACTGAAATCACTCATAAGAGATTTAACCCCAGTCTTTGGTGGACTCACCTTTGAGGTGCTGGGGGGGGGGCATGTCTTCAGTATTTTGTGTGGTTAAGCAACCTGGCGGAAGTTGCATCTTATACTTTTGACAAACGGAAGAAATGAAAGATTTGAATTTTGCCGTGTGTGGAACAGCCTTTGAAACAGCATTTACACCTTCATATTGACAACATTCAGAGAAAATATATAAAATAATGGTTAGCTGAATAACTAAAAT